TGCTTCCTCCGCCTCGTGTGTGGGGATCTCAGTGACCTTCGAGGGGAGAGGGTCTGGGGAGGCTAGGGGGTTAAGCAGGAGGGGGGCTGGAGCAGGTTCAGACATGGGGGGGGCAGGCATGGGAGGGGAAGCAAGGTCAGGCATAGGAGGGGGTGCAGTGACTGGCATAGGAGGAGGGACAGGACCAGGAACCGGGACTGGGGCAGGAGCAGGAGCAGGCTCCAGTTAGGTGAGACGAGCATGCTTGGTTGATGCATGTTGTGTCCCTGCTGCAGAAACTCTGTCCACGTTTTTCTCTGCCTCTGCATGTCCTCCTGGACCTTCGGGCCAGCGTCTCATGCAGGCCCCAGAATATGGACACATGCTCCCGCGTCCGTTTTTCCTGGGTCCTCCGGCACCTGCAGCTCCCGCAATGTCAGGCAGCCGGCTTGGTGGGTGTTGCCCAGACCCCTGTCACAGCTGGTCCAGTTGGGGCAATAAAGAAAGACGGTCAGTTATCCCTGGAGATACTGTCCCGGAAGCCTTGCCCTCGTCTGTGAACCAAGAGTGACAGTTCCCGGGTCAGAGGAGGGTGTTGTCCTGGGAGCAAAGGGCACGTGTGGCCTGGACAGCGGGCCCTGTCTTACAGGGGCCCAGTCATCCCTAGGCTAAGCGACGATCGCACCACAGCCCCTCGGTGCCTGCCAACCCTCCCCTGTGTGTGTGAGGAAACCAAGACCACTCAGCTGATGAGCCTCCCCTGGCCTCAGAGGATGCCTGGGACACCTCCAGGTCGTGGAGTACTGGCTCCAGGGTGAGCGTGGTCATAGAGTTGGCTGCATTGGGGTCCTCCTCCTCTTTCTGCTTCTCATCCCTGGCTGTGACCCCGGGGCTGGTGGGTGACAACAGGCGTCTCCATGCCCCAATCCATCCCCTAGATATGCCTACCCTGCAAAAATGACTCACAGCAGCAAATCTCAGGGACTGATCATAGATTCCCACTCACTACAGGGTTAAAAATAACAATGGAGACATTTGGGCTGGGCAAGAACCAAGGACTATGAAACCCAGCTAGAGAAGTGAATCTCAAAGCCTAGGCTCCGGCCCGAATTCTACTGTCTAAACTGCTAGACCAATACAAACTGACCCAGGCTCTGAGACTGGCTGCCACAGGTTAGTTGGTTGGGTTTTTTGCTGCAGGGTAGGTGCCTCGTAAATCCCTTTGGGGATACCACCAGTGTTCCCTGTAAGCTGGGTGCTTGTGTGACCCCTCAGGAGAGTTAGATTCCATCCAGCTGAGTAGCAGAGTGCCCGCAGCTAGATTTTTTGTTTCTACTGGTGACGCACATTCACACATGCCATAGTGCACCTAAAAAATTAATTCCACCCATGGAGGGAAAAGATTAGTGGGAACCTTGAAGACTTCCCTAATAGTGGATAGGATTGTGGGCTTCGGGTGTATTAAATGCTTTACTACATTTGAAATGACATTGATTATTTTCTCTTTCTTTCCTAGTTCTCGATCGATAGCGGGAAAACAAGCCCGATGCTGAAGGCCCACTCTTTTTGCACTGGCAGGAGAGAGAATTTTGAGAGTCTCGATTAGCACCACTGTAGCATTGGAAACAGCGGCCTTTCAGAATTCCATACCTAGGGCATACTGAGCAGGAGCACTGGAACGGAGCATGCTCAGTGAGAGCTGCTGGAGCTGCTGCCCTTACTCTCCCCTTAAGTGGCTTCAGACGCTGCTCCCGGCTCTTCACAGTCATTAAAAAGGGCTCAGGGGGCAAATCGTGGTGGGGGAGGGGCAGGATGTGAACCGCGGGCAGAAATTTACCAGCTGGGGCGGAGGGGGGGAGGAAGGGGTGTCAATTAAGTTTCTGGTACTGCAGAGCGGGGGCTGGAAGGGAAAATCTGGGGGTGGAAGGAGGGAGGGATGGACACCCTACTCCAAAAAGATGTAGCGGACATGAAGAAATTTCCAATCAAAACAGTGGCAATGATTAGAGACCCTGCAAGGTTCTGTGTGAAGAGAGACATTACACATAGCAATGAATAAGCGGTTACGCACTGGGGTCTCGGACAGTGTAGGGGACCCAGCCCCAGCAGTTCTTCCCTGGTCCACAAGCCAGGGCGGGGATGCACCGGCCAGGTGACGAGCCGGGGCAGGCGGACCTCGGAGGCAGGGGGCGGAGGGAGGAGGCGGCGAAGATGACGTCACCGGCGCGCCAGCCCGAAGAGTCGTGGGAAGATGACAGGGGCGGCGTGGGAAGATGCCTGCGGCTGGCGGGCAGTTCAAAAAGGAGCCCAGCACCGGCAAGCGGGGGAGACACACGGGAGACGGGGGCACCACAGCAGAGGGTTGGCGGGCCCAGGTACTGGAGGCCCTGGGTAGGGCCGTGCCATAACGGCCTCGGGAGCGGAGCGACCTAGGGCTGGGGAAGAAGTGACCCAGGGCGGGGACGTGGCCCCCGAGAGCGGGGGAGTTTAGGGTTCTTGACCCCCTCCCCGTTAGGTGAGGATTTTTATCCTGACCTTAGGGCCCTGGGTCGGGGTTCGGAGCGAGGATGGGCCCGGACCCCCTTCCCCAGCCGGCCGAGCTCGACTGGATCTGAGTATTGGTAGCCGATAGCGGTTGAAGTGACTAGAGGGGGAGCGGACGTAAGCCCCCCTGGGGGGAACCCCCCACAGAGCCCCTGAAAAGTTCTGTGTGAAGAGATTGAATGGATTGGAACTGCATCATCGTGCTTCGAGCAAACAGCCCCCTGTGGCATGCCAACGTCACACATAGTATTGAATTAGCGGTTATGCATTGGGGTCTTGGATGGTGTAGGGGACCTCCCCCCAAGAAACTCTTCCCTGCTGATGTAAAGCTGGAGCAGCCAGCCTGTGCTAGAGGGGACAGTGCTGAGGCTGGCCAGTGATTATGTTATTCTGTAGTCCAGCATGAGAAATATATCATACTATATACTCTGAATACTTCATTATTTATCTGTACTAGCAGTACCCATCCTGTTGTGATGGTAGACGTATACTCGGGTTGTTCTGCTTTGGCTTGATATGTGCCTGGGGGTGTAGGGACTCAGTGGAAAGAGCATGTGAGGGGATTCGGGGCACAGGGTCTAAGCTTGGCGTGCGATGAATGAGCAGCTGGGAGGGTGGAGGCTGTATGGCTCCCACTCTTCTGGAGCACCAGGGAAGGGAATGTGAATTCCTTCTGTTTCCCAATGCCAAGCAAAACAGAGAGGGGGTGGGGGGAGAGTTTCACCTTTGGGAGGAGATTTCACAAGTGATCTCTTTCCTGGTTTTCTTGGAATTACTTGGGTGGTGGCAGCAGATTCCCCAAAATCTGGGTATTAGGATTTGGGGGGGAATTTTTTGTACCAGAGCCTGTAGCCACCGCTCCGCACTCACACAAAGGCCACCTCCCTCACCTAGCCCGGGGGATAGTTCTCAAGTCTCCCTGTGACTCAACAGCATTCCCAAAGGGGAAAAAACAGGAGGCCGGCTTCTCTCTCTCCCTCGACAGCCCCTTTGGCCGGGCCATTGTCCTCCTGCCCTCGGCCAGAGTCTTTCCCTTTGCCACTCTGCAACATGCTCTTGACGGGCATGTCTTGCGATGAGGCTTTACCATGGGCAAGCCAGAGCCGCTCCCTGGCTTTGCAGGGTCATTGTCTCTCTGCAGGTAAAAATCACCTTGTGGGGGAGAAGGGCCAGGCAGGCGGCATTTCTTTCTTTCCCTGGAAAAAGGTAGCAGTAGCAGCGCTTTCAGGGAGTTGAAGCCCAGTCTCTGAGGTGACAGAGAAGGATATCCACCACTATATTAACAGGGAAAGGAACAGGGAGGGCAGGCATCATAGCATGGAGGTGACTGGAGACTTTATGGGTGGTGCTTTTGGTTCCATGGGCTTTGTGCCTGTCCCCACAGAGGAATGAAAAGGGAAATCCCTCCTTCCCTTGTGCAGGGCTAGTGCCAGGCGAGCAAAAGAAGCCAAAGTCCACATGGGGAATCGAACCTCTGACCCCGGCAGAACTAGCAGCCCACGCTAACCCACTGAGCTAAGTGGCCGGGGACAGGAGGCTGATTTCAAAGACTTTCATTCCGGGAGCAGCGCGTTCCCTGCATCGCTTCCGCAGGACAACGCGAAAGCGGCTCTGCTAGTTGCTGAGCATTTTCAGCGGCATTTTCAAAGGCTCGGAGACCGCGCGCGCCGATGAACGGGAGCCCGAGGCGACAGTCAGGGAGCGGCGCCTCCGCACGAGACTTGCGGAGCGGGCGGCGGGACGGGGCCAGCTGGGGAGCCCCGCCCGGGCAGCGGAGAGGGCGGGGGCGGGGCTACTATTTGAACGCACGAGGCGGGCGGGCCCCAGCCCTGGGGAGGGACTGAGCGGAGCCGAGTTGCCGCACGGGGAGGCCGCTCTGTGCGCGTGCCGCCCTCTCGCCGCCTTGCTCTCGGCCCAGCCCGCAGTACCCGCAGGCCTTCGGACGCACATCGGCGTTCCCTTACTGCGCAGGCGCCAACTTTCCCGCCCAAAGCGGGCGAAACTAAAAAAGCCTAATAGAGCCACACCTGCTTTCCCCTCCCCCCCCTCACCTCGCCGGGAGATGGTATCGCCCAGCGCCGGGCGCATAAAAACGCCGTCACTGGGCACACGCCCTTCATTCTCGGACCCGCACGCCGTCTTGCTGCACGTCTCGCCGGCCGGGGAGCGGCTTCGGGGAGAGGCTTTATCCCCCCGCGGACTCGCCTTGAGCGCTCCAAGCCAGGTAACCGCGCCGCTCGGCTCCCCGCGCTCGCAGGCAGCAACGCGCTGGGGACGCCCGGCGAGCGGGGCCCCGCGTGTTTCCCGGCGCGCGTCGAAAGTGTTTCTCCGCTTCCCGGCCGGGCTACGACGCCGCCGCCTCCTGCTCCCTGCCCGCAGCGTCTGGGCCGCTGTTCCCGCGGCAGGGCTGGGCAGGGCCCGGGGGGCCGCGGTGAGCTGGCTGGGCTAAGTACGCCAGAGTCTGTGTGTCTGGTGATTTTCTTTCACTGGTAGGGGTTGCTGGGAAATGTCTGGCCCTGTGTTGAGCAGTTGGAATGATGTGTAAGGGGTGTGCTTTGTTACAGGTGGATCTACAAAGGGAGATATAATTGGAGGCAATTTTTGCTCTGGGTTTCCTCCTTAGAGCCACCAGCCTTCCACCAAAGGCAGGCAGAGGGAAAACTGTGCCAGCAGCCGAGGGGGGTGCTTGGCAAAGATTTGATGGGAAATCGGGTAAGTGGCCTTTCTGGAGGGTGGGAGCATGTGTGATGAGCGGGTGGAGGTAAGAATCCAATAGTCTGTGCATCTGGTAATTTTCCTTCACTGGTGCTGGTTGCAGGGATTTTTTGGCTGGTTATTGAGGAGTTTCAATTGTTTGTAACGGGAATGTTTTGTTCCAGATGAGTCTACAAGTGACAATACAATTGGAGGCAAAGCTTTGAGAAGGGCCTCCTTCTAATAGGGAATGGGGTAAGTGGGATTTTTGTGGGCACACGAGGGTGTGAGTGGTGAGCTCCGGGAGGGGGGGGGGGGAAAGTATGCAAGGGTCTTTCTGTCTGGTGATTTTCCTGCACTGGTGGCAATTGAAGGGACTGTTTTGCCATTTGATGAGCAGTTGGAATTGTGTGTAATGCGAGTCCTTTGTTACAGGAAGTTGTACAATTGGCAATGGGATTAGAAGCAACGCTTTGAGCTAGGCCGCCTCCTTAAAACCACCAGCTATACAGCAAAGGTGCAGGAATTTGGGAAAGGAAGGAAGAGAGTAGCCCACAGAGCCACTTGTCTGGGAACGGTCTAGTTGGAAATCGGGTAAGTGTGGCTTTAGCAGGCATACGACGGTGTGTGTGTGGTGATCTGGCTGGGGTAAGTATGCAAGAGCTTTTGTGTCTGGTGATTTTTCTTTTGTTTTGGGCACTGGTGGTGGTTGCAGGAACTATGCTGCTGTATAGTTTGATTCGTGAGTAATGCGTGTGCTTCGTTACAGGAGGTTCTTCAATTGGCATTGGGATTAGAGGCAAGGCTTTGAGCTGGGCCTCCTTCTTAAAGCCACCAGCTATACAGGAAAGGCAAAGGAAGAGAGCAGCCCACAGAGACACTTGCCCGGGAACAGTCTCATGGGAAATCGGGTAAGTGTGACCTTTGAGGGCGTGTGTGGTGAGCTGGCTGGGGTAAGTAGGCAAGAGTCTTTGTGGTTGGTGATTTTTTTTTTTGGGGTGCACTGGTGGTGGTTGCAGGAACTGTGCTGCTGTGTAGTTTGAATTGAGAGTAATGCGTGTGCTTAGTTTCAGGCGGTTCCTCAGTTGAGATGGGCCTCCTTCAAGCCACCAGCTACACAGCAAAGGGGAAAGGAAGAGAGCAGCCAACGGGCGCTTTCCTGTGAACGCTTACATTTACCCCTTTTCCTCTGAGACGTTTGCGGAGTATGCAGCCGTGTCGTGAGCTGAGTAGGGTAAGTATGCAAGAGTCTTTGTGTCTGGTGGTTTTCTTGCACTGTTGGCGGTTGAAGAGGGACTGTTTACCCTACATTCAGCAGTTTGAATTGTGTGTAATGCGAGTGCTTTGTTACAGGAGGTTTTTTCAATTGGCAATGAGATTAGAGGTAATGCTTTGAGATGGGTCTCCTTAAAGCTGCCAGCCATTCAGCAAAGGTGCAGGCAGAGGAGAAACGGAGGGCTCAGCGAACGGGCACTTTGCTTGGGAACGGTCTCATGGGAAATCAGGTAAGTGTGACCTTTGAGGGCATGTGCGGTGAGGTGGCTGGGGTAAGTATGCAAGAGTGTTTGTGTCTGGCTTTTTTTTGTGCACTAGTGGTGGTTTCAAGAACTGTGTTGCCATGTGTTGAGCAGCTTGAATTGTGTATAATATGTGTGCTCTGTTACAGGAGGTTCTTCAATTGGTGATGGTTTTGGAGGCAAGGCTTTGAGCTGGGCCTCCTTCTTAAAGCCACCAGCTATACAGCAAAGG